ATTCTGTGGTCCTAAAGTGGAAAATAATATTATATATTTTCAACATAAAGCCTGAAATATTTGTCATTAAATTAATTAGTGTACTTTTACTCAGACATTCATCATATGCACCAAAATGCAATGCACTGCATGAAAACGTGCATACAAAACAAAACGGTTTTGTTTTAATGTGAATATCATATATGACTTTGTGGCTGTATTTGCCAGTGTGTTGCTGATGGAGGAAGTCCACTTAAAATTAAAAGAAAAAAGGTTGTTACTGATCTACTGTTCTGTATCTCAATGACCATAACCTAAAGAAAATAAGATTTCATGGGTGAAAAAAGCATGAAGCCAACTAGTGACCTTCCCCAGAGAATAAAGGTCAGAAACAAAACACTTCAGGCGCCATATGGAGGAAGTTATGAAGATGAATATAAACTTTGTCCTGGATTCTCCATGCCTGGAAAGCCTGAAGATCCAACCAACCTTAACAGCTGAAAATCTACATAGATTTGCATACAAATGAAGGCTGTGGTGTGACTCTGACCTAGTTGGGACCAGAGAGGACGGAAACCTTCCTGACAGGTTCTCTTAGAGCACTGACCAAACATGGGCTGTTTCTACAGTGCAATGAAAGCAAACAGCTAAAGTTACAGTAGCCTAGTTTAATTTAAAACTAGCTAAGTTTGAATACAAAAACAAACCAGCATTAAGTACTCTCCTTTCTTCCATTTTTCACAACAGCCCTCTGATTAAATGCACATAAGGACAAAAATAAATCAAATTCTAAACAATTCAAAGCAAGATCTACTGTATACTTGAAATCAAACTGAACCAGAATGAATTGGACATTTACAGAAAATACAATTCAGTAAATAATCTTTCAAATCACCTGGGGATTAAAAAAAGGTAAGGGTTGAATGAAAGTGATACGATAACATTTAGTATCCTGAATGTTAATGCTATTGTAAACTTGTTTAACTAACAGAGAGAAAGATGGAGAGACAGTGACTATCTTTTATTTTAAGGTCAAATCCTGAACTCTTGAAACATAGAATACCGCCTTAGCTTCCTTTTAAAAAACTAACATTGTTTACCGACAATAGTGAGGTGGGTTCTACTCTGAAACAATGAGGTCAAGTTTTCAAACACGTTTCCATTGAGTTTCAGACATAAAGTTTTATTGTAGATTTAAAACAATAAGGATGGAAATGAAATGATTGGAGGTACTGGAATGTTTTACTGCATTTATCTAGTGGGATATATTCTAATATAACAGCTGTGATGAAAGTTGACAGCATTAAATCAGGAACAAGGGCTGGCTGGTTCTAATGCATTCATACATTTACCTCTGAATTCAGTATTTGAATATGAAAATGATTTAACACCTAGATTAATCCTATCTGTTACAAGCATGTAGATAGAAAGATTTAAATATCTATGAAGGGTCTGCTGTTTTTCCTTTTAGCTTAAACAGTTTTTATCTCATCTGAATGAGCCATTTTTACAGCTGCGCAGTGTTATTCTTTTCCAGAGTTGTTTTTATTCCCCATTGCTGTACAGTCTATTTTTAAATTTTATATTTATTTTATTTTTGTTCCCTTTCATATTTTATAACCTTCTGTGTACCTGTAGGCTTTTATTTTCATTTTCCTTTGCCCAGAAAATAACCTTTGTTAACAACACAAGCAAATTCTGCATTTTAAGCATTTTAAGCATTTACATTATAAATATATTTTTTTTTTTCAATACTGCAACACGTTCTCTTAGCAGCTGCTCTAATTTAATGAAATACATATATCTGATTTTCCGTAGATTATATTCAGATTTTTAAGGTTCTCTCTGTAACTTTGTTCCCCATTTCAATAGGGATACACAATTAGCCCATGCATTTGATGCAATCACCCAGCACCTCACGGTAAATGTGTTGTTCTTATTTCTTATTCTTTATTTTTTTCTTTTTATGGCATGATACGAGAAACTTAAAAAAGGTTTAAATATTTTCTCATATTCCTATTTTATTACTTTTTTTTTATGTATGTGTAATTTGTTTAGAAACTATTTTTCTTGGTTCACCATTTACATAGAACACCACAACATGTTTGCTCAAGAAAATCTTCTAATCTGATAAATATTTGGTTTTGCTTTCAGTCTACTGGATTGTTGACAGCATAAAGAAAAAAATCTACTGATTCAGAAAGTTGTGTGAAAGCTGTTAAACCAATGAAAAGCATGTTTGCTGAAGAGGGCTTAATCTTTCAGGGCTACAGATTTAGACCATCTTAGCTCAGGCTCAAGAAATTCAGCAGACGATGTCACTCATTCAACTAAACAATGCAACCTTATAGAGGAATAGCTGTTTGATAGAAATTGTGCATGTCTTGTTTTTTAGTAACTGATTTTAAACATATTTTGTTTTGTGTCCACTAACTTGTTTTTTAACACCTAACTGTCACACTAAACAGACTGACTTGGATGTGTGGTGTCTATATAAACGTAAATAAGCACATAATATGAACTGCCCTGGAGCCCTTATTTCTAAATATGACAAAAATCGTACATATTTCAGAATAACAAGCTATGCAAACGTTATTACTGCAACTTTGACTGACTGGAGCAGCAGGGACATAATGAAGTTTGCGAGAGAACAGCTGGAAATATATCCGGGAAATGCAGAACAGTGTATAAAAGTAGCACTGAGATTAAAAGAAGCACATAGGCAGATAGCACAACTCACTTTGACACATTTCTATGCTGCTGACCTTGGTGCTGTCTGGGAAAAAGGTGCATCTTCATAGAAAATTGCCTCAGCATGTGAGAACGGTGGGGATCTTCTAGTTATTGTGCTTGCTTTCTTTGTTTAGTTTTGCAGAGAAAGGTTTTTATATGAAATTGCATCACAATGGAAGCAATTTTACAACATGTCACTGTGAAGGGTTGCACAACAGACCTGTGCACATTTCTACAAACCATTTTAAGGCTGTATTTAATTTGTTAGACCTGGTCACTATATAAAGGCCTACAGTACAATATTGTTTTTCTAAGGAGAGAGCAGGGAAGGAAAGACTTTAACTCCTGTAATCTAATTGACTGATCCTCAAATACATCTAGCCTTTAAAAGTGGTACATTCATAATCCAACAATTGTATACAGAGCCTTATTCTTTTTGCCTACTGTAAAACCTCCTGTATAAAGAAAAATGTTTCATTTATCACTTAAGTCTATGAATCACGATAAGCTGAACTTTTACATGGTTTCTGCAATGCAACATAAGGCTGATCAGTAAATAATGTCTATCACTGAGTCATTAGCCAAAAGATTTTACATCATGTTATGACATATTTTCTAGAACAATTTCAACAACTGTCTTTTGCAAAGTAGGATTGTGTTTAAAAACAAAGAAACTAGAAACAAAACCATTCTTCGTGTCATGATAATGAAAATAAAATGTTTAAAAATTCCAAAGAAAAATAAATAATGATGCTAACTGACTGAATAATCTATAAACTATTTCCTTGCACATTATATCTATGTACTGTGGGTTTAATTGTTTATGTAGGACATTAGGTTTGATGCATGTATATTCTGTAATCACTCTTAACTACCTAATCGGTTACTACAAATGGTGTAATACATAAGCATGTGGCAGTGTATGCCAGCCACTCGATCCAGCAAAGATATCAAAACTAATCTGAAGAAATGGAGAATGTAAAAGTAGTCATGGCTAGAGAAAAATATAGGGTACTAGTTTTACAGAGAGAGTTGGAAAGCTGTTGGAAGATCAAGCATCTTTATGGGTGATATTTCAAATAAATCAACCTGCTAAATTAAACCCACCAAGCCATCTGTATTTATTATAAACAAATAAAAACAGTTATTTAACTATATGATCTTCAGTGCAACTTCGTTCCAAACCAAACTACCAATGAAATAAGTTCAATTAAGGATGCATTAACCAATTAAAGAGCTTTAGTAGGAGGAATCTTTAGTATGAGAAAACTGTTAAATCAAATGACAATGCCGTCCGTCTGTCCATCGACCCTTACAGGACTAAGTGGGAGAAAATGGATGGATGGACAGGTGTGCCGCAGGCAAATGATAATGTCTATTCATAAATAAGAATACTTTTGGCAGATATCCTAAATTTTTTGCATAAAAGTTCACTTGAAGCGACTAAAGAAATAATCGAATAGGAAGAAAAAATATATAATGACCAATATTTCTTAATCAGTCTTTGCATAAGCTACCAGAGGAAGAGAATAATGATAAAAGTTCTCACTGATTTGTGTTCGGCATGCAATCAAAGACACAGAGTATGAAAATGAACCTCTTTAATGACCTGGGCTCTCATTGATCAAACATCTGTCTGCACAAAGCAGAGCATTGTGTGGCCTTGTGAAACCTGCGTATGTCACTTTCCACAAAGATTGTGATTTTAACAAAAGCAAACTTGGAAGTGGAAATGTGCCGGTCCTAACCCCAATTCATGCATATGGATACACACATTTAGGAGAGAGGGGGAACTGGCGACAAAGATGGTTACTGGGGGTAATTTAGGCCAGATTGCATCATAATATATATTTTTTTCCGTTTAATTCTATAGAAAATTATATATTTTAGTTTTGTTAAGTGGCTTGAAAAGCATAATTTTCAGCTTGAAACCTATTTTAGAGCAGCGCTGCCAAACATCGTATTTTTCCTTTATTATAAGAAAGAAACATGATCCCATCTACATAATCATATGCAACTCACCATGTGTAGACGTTTAAATGAATAATTCAATATAATAACTAATAGCAAAAACCTGATATTCCATAAAATTCCATAAAACACTAACTCATAAAATGTAATGCATAGTTACCTTTGATAAGTTACTTTCACTGAGCAGTAAATGAGTACATTAACATTTTTGAAGAGGTAATCACAACTATACAGTAACTAGTTATTTTTTAAATAACTACCACCTCACTAAATAAATGCATGTAGTTCATAGCATCACCTGAGGAAATCGGTCTTACCTTGCAGATCTTATACAATGAATCCTGCCCATCTCCATCAGATTCTTTAAAGTAGTCATGAGCTGGAAAAGTACGGTGGATGTCACGGGTGATGACGCTTTCCTGTGCAGAATCCTGCAACACAGAGGATTCATATTCCTTAGAAAAAACAAACACAGCTTAGTCTTCTCTTTATAAACTTTTATTTGGTCAGAATTTGTTTGACTAAACTATAGCACCTCTTTTTCATCCCTACAAATATGTGCAAACATCATTCCCAGTCTCAGTTACCAGCCAGTAAACCAACACTGTGCCTGATTATAATTTGTAGGGATTCCAATTTATGTTTCTGTACTTTTAAGAGTTTTTGAAGATTTCTTTATACTTTTATCCAAAAAAAGAAGTTTATATACACAATTAGAATTAATTGGTACCACACCTTTGTTCCCATGCTTATGTAATGAGTTTATAAGCCTCTGATCTATCTTCATTTAAGAATATCGGTGGATGTGCTTTAAAGGCATACAGTTTACAGCAGGTTCTATCAAATACAGTGCAAGGAAATATTGCCAACATTTTTAAGATAAGTATAAAACCAAAGTCTCTAAACCAAGACACAAAAAAAGTCTAAGGTGAGCTAAAAAAAAAAAAAGTTTAATTTCTAGTTCTGTGCCATACAATTGTATGACCTTATAACTGAAGAGGAGAGGGGGCTAAGCAATATAACACTTAATGTCTATGCTGTCTTCACCATCAATATAGAAAATTTAGCTTTTTATTCTAAAATAAGTACTTTTAACTTCTGTTTTGATAATTTGCTGTATGTTAGCTTATTTGATTATAACGACAAAATATAAGGCCAAGGCAAAATTATGCACCTGAAGAATTGATCTGAGCTGTCTATCCCATCCTTTTTTGATTGACTTATATATTATTTTTTTATGTGTTTATTTTCTATGCTTAATGTTCCCTTTTCACAGTGAAGGGTTTAGAGCTGCTGGCACAGCTGTGTGTCTGAACTGAGGAGGTGCTTTTTTCTGTATACTAAGTGTTAAGAGGTGGAAAAGCATTACTGCTAAAGATTTAACGACTAAGTACAACTATGACATTACAGTTACAACAAATAAGAAGGTCAAACTAACTTCCTTAGATACAGCGATGATACCACCCTCTGCACAATGTAGTATAACTTTATTATTCTATTTTGATTTCATATTCTTGCAAAATTCAGGACTTGAAAAAATGAAAGTAATTAGAAAAATATATACATGGCTTTATTTAAAAAAGTTATTCATATACAAAGAGAAAATAACTGTTTGGGGTTGATTTTTTTAAGCTATTAAGTTCGTTGAGATAGGAACTTGCTGCTATAAACTTGATTTAGTTTTAAATGTTACAATATTAGAGCTACATACAGGTGAATATCACAGCTTTCTTGTCACAATGCTCTCCGGCTTAGTACAGAAATTACAAAGGTTTGCTTGATGTGCTCCCCTCAGAACAATTTACTGAAGATTTATTCATTTTCTGTAAAAGAGGGAATTCTCTTCAGCTTTTTACAACATGCCACAATGACGATGCTTCAGTGGAGAACGGAGCACATCATACTTGTTTCAAACCTAGAGCCTAAGACAAACAGCTACAGTATGGCTCAATCTAACTTGTATTTAATTAACGGATCCATCAAATTTATACCCATTTATTCCAGCTGTATTACCATGGCAACGTCAGCAAAGACCATCAAGAATGTGTTTGACAGTTAAAGTTGTAAACACTTTGATTTAATAAACCATGCATGCCTCTGCTAATTAACAGCCTCATTACTCAAAAAACACCAAAAAAAGGAGAGGACGTCCTCTACGCTACCTAATCCCATCCTTTCCTCTTTCATCCCTTCCTCCTCCCCTCTGCAATTTCTGTCAGCGTGGTCTTTTGTAGTATTCAGTCCCCAGTCTTTTGTTTCTTTTTCTTGCTTATCGGCAGCTTTTTCCACTTCCACTCTTCTCTATTTTCTACTTCATGTCCCACAGTCCCTTCGCTTCAGCCGCTTCATATATTTCCTTTTCAGCTCGTATACTTCCTCTCCTCTTGTTCTAAACGATTGCAGCATTGCCTCTTATTTGTCATGCAGACAGCAAGTAAACCATGCTATCCAAGTTCCCTTTTTTTTTTGCAGGCTAACAAGAGAAAGCTCTTCCTAAAGAGTGATAGATGAACTCCTGATGAGATGAAAATACTGCAGAATATGAAATATAACCTATAAGTCTGAGTTAAATAAAACTAAAATACAGTCTCTCTGGTTACATTGCCCGCAGTAGATGATCTCAGATAAGAACCCTGCTAACACCGAAGCGATTCTTAGTATTTTTACCCTTTCATTATTTTCTGGTTAAATATCTATTACATAATATATGCAAACTGGATGCTATAACATTTTTTTCCATTTTGTCACCTTATCAGCAATAGCTTCAAGGTATTTAATCAATGTAATGTTCTAGGCCAACACAAAGCAGTGCCTGATTGTGGAAGATACCTGGTTTTTAATATAATCAACAGATAATAATCTGAAAAGTGTTACATACATTAAAAGTCCAACCAATAAGCCAATAGTTTTGTAAACCACATTTTGTTCCAATAATACCTGCAGATCCTTTTGTGCAAGTCTATACCAGCTATGCAAAATAAAAGACTGCAATATTTGTCCTTTCCTCTTTGCTAAATAGCTTAAACCTTGATCTAAATCATTCCATTGTAGCTCTTGGCTGCATCTTTTAGGTGACTGTCTTGCTGGAAGGTAAACCTCTACACTGACACTTTTTACCTGCTGTCTCAAACAGGTACTTTTTTTCCTTATTTTTGATTTTTATTTCCATTATAACAATATTTTTATAGTTACGGTTTATATTTTTTAATTAATGATCAATCTCATCCTTATAGCATCACAATGACATTTTTGTAGCAGCAATCAGATCAGAATTATAGAGCACCGTTAAAATCAAAATACTTGGAGAGTAGAGAGGATTAAAATTATTATTATTATTTATTTTTATTTTATTTTATTTTTTTTGGGGGGGCAGGGGGCGCTATATAGCAGCTGAAATCATCCCTAAAGAGAAGCATGAATATGGCCATATATGGGGAAAAGGGTGAAGTACTTACATGTGGAGCTTGTACTACAGTAAAGTAGCCTATGAACAGACATTGGTCATAAAAAGTACTACTGAGTGTCTACAGGGGAGGGATTGCCTTCACAGCTTCACGTCTGCTTGTTTCAGGTTTAGTGCAGCCGATCTGCCTTCCCAATAGAACTGGTACAAACAGCTCATTGCCTGGGAGGGTGGGATCTGTGGCAATGCATCTGGCCCTTTTCTAAAGCCCTGTATCATAAACCAGATCTGGCAGACAGCATGTCATGATCCCCTGAGCTTTTTTCACAAGCTCTGCTATGACCAACTTAACTAGGGAATGTTGCATTTCTTTGCACCGTTACTTGTGCTCCATTAATAATTAGTTTGCCAGGTACAGCAAATCAAAGTTATTTCAGATGGCCTTAATCTAATATAATTTTCCTCTGCAATTATATGTCCAATATAGTCGATTGTTGACAAACAATATTGAGCAAAATTAGGATTCACCAATCTCCCCATTCGCTCAAAACAGCTTCTCTGTCTCTGTTGGTGAGAAGCATCTCCATAGCATGATGCTGCCCCCAAAAGATGTTTCCCTCTAGGGTTGGGGCGTTTAAGGTTGATGTGCCATGTTACTTTCCCTTCACTAAACGATCTAGAACAAAAGGTAGTCTCATCTCACAAAAGCCATCCATCCCTCCATCCATCTTCTCCCACTTATCCATCAGGGATAGTATCTCAAGCAGGCTATGGATGAAAGGCAGGGGACACACTGGTTAAGTTGCCAGTCTCTCGCATCTGGCAATAGTATTTATTTCAAAACCTTTTGTATTGTTGCCCTCTGTATATGGCTTATGGCAAAATGCAATTTGAACAATGGCCTTTATCTTGCCACTTGTCAGTAAATTTCATGGCTAATAGATGTCCTGTCAAGCGATAGATCCACCTGAGCTGCAGCCATATCATTATATAATCTATCTGTATAATATAATGTGGTTCTGATTCTTAAAAAGAGGACAAATGTAAGTGTAGAAACCCACTGTCCTGCTGCGGTGCATCAGCACCAAGCAAGCAGCCACCAGATGAGGCCTCTCTTTCAACACTTGTCGTCTGAGAAGCTGGTGAACTACAGCCTCAAGGTGTCCTAAGGAAACCGCTGCCTCATTAGTTGCATCACTTCATTACAGTGCTACAGCTCAGCTTCAACAAGGTAAATAACAGAATTAATCAATTCTAGTCTTGCATCATATAACCTAACAGCATAAGCTTATCCTAAAATAGGGTTCATGTTTTTTTCACACTTTCTATGCACTGAGAAGTAGAATATTTTAGTTCAGCTAATGAAGACAGGGCTACTTGTTCTTCCCAGAGCTACAATAATGGCCATCAAATCCAACCATCCATCCAGACCAATAAACCTAATAAGCAGCCAAGTGACCAGGCTGAGGAACACTGCGGCTGCATAATTCAATATAATTTAATAACATGCCCATGGATTTAATGGGCCAATAAAATATATTATCAAATAACTATAAGAAATGTCATATAAATGGAACGGTGGATCTCCATCAATAAAATTAACATGATTAAAATTATTAAAAAATACTGCAAAAAAAAAATAATTCCAACAGATTCCTAAACAAGAGATTTTTTACATCTGTTTGTTCATTTTGTCATTCAGCTAATAAAAAACATGTTTATCTGAAAAATAAATTCATATTGGACAAATACAATTACTTTCTAACAGAGAAACATCAGGTGCAAACCTTAAACAGAGCACTCAGATTTCAGCATTAAAAAACCTACAATGCAGCAATTGAGGTAATCCCTTCCCGCTATCATCGCAGCCCCACCCTCTGTTCAGGAGAGTGGAGGACCTCGTCTATTCAACTAGACCAACGATTCCCTTTAACGTCCCTTCTCTCAGACCCTTAGAAGGGTGTAGGGCATTGCAGGCTAACAAAAGAAGCCAAACGACCCCCATTCCAAAGGGGTGGAACCGTTCGT